GGTTTCTGTACCCAATATTTAAAAAATTTACAAATGCAATAAAAATATTGGTATCGGTACTCGGTATCGGCAAGTAACAAAAATAAAATTATCGGTATCGGGCGAGTACTGGAAAAAGTGGTATCGGTGCATCCCTAATTGTTGGGGCAGTATCCAGCTATATCTTAAACTCAAATTACAGTGCTTCAGATTGGTTTTAATCACTGCACAAAAAAATGTACGCAATCTTTATCTAATTCTGATTGGGTGGGCTCAGCCCACCCCTGCCCATGCCTGGAGCCGGCCCTGGTTTAAACACTGAATTTTGAATCGATTTCTTCTCATAAACTCAGAGATGTAGATTCGGACGGCAATTAAATTACCACACGACCTTGGTGTTTGTCACAAAAAAAAAAAAAAAAAAACAGTAGGGAATTTGGCCGGGGATTTTTACGGGGGGGGGGAGAGAAAAATAAACTGTGATAATGTGAGAAATGTTTAAGGTGTCTGAATAAATTTAGGTTTGACAGTATCTATTTGATAAATGAAGTTAACCAACTAACATTATACATATCCTTTTGGTTTCTGTACCCAATATTTAAAAAATTTACAAATGCAATAAAAATATTGGTATCGGTACTCGGTATCGGCAAGTAACAAAAATAAAATTATCGGTATCGGGCGAGTACTGGAAAAAGTGGTATCGGTGCATCCCTAATTGTTGGGGCAGTATCCAGCTATATCTTAAACTCAAATTACAGTGCTTCAGATTGGTTTTAATCACTGCACAAAAAAATGTACGCAATCTTTATCTAATTCTGATTGGGTGGGCTCAGCCCACCCCTGCCCATGCCTGTAGCCGGCCCCGCTCTCATCTAGAGCATATTTTATTTGATGTAGAGTCAACTGTTTCTGAAGGTAATTTTCTGGCATTAGAAGTCAAAGCCACTAGAGACATTGCTCAAGGCACATCAGAAGCAGCTTTTAAAATTCTTAACCTCCCTATTTTCTCCCAATCTTTTCCCTGCACTCTCATATAAGGATAATCCACACAGTGCCAGAATCCACCCAGAGCTCACTGAGGGTACAGCGGACTCCTGAATGAGAAAGTCAGGGCCGGGAAAAGAGAGAAGGGGAGAGGGTAGTTTTTGTTGAACATTTCTTAATGCATTAAGTATGTTTTTGTTGAGAGAAACAGTAGGGGGAAGAAATTTCTCTTACATCCTCCCTCTTTCCGCGAATTATGTACTGCCCTTTTAATTGCTTGAAAACATGCTTAAAATAATAATTCACCCACAAATTAACATTCTGTCATTGTTCACTCATGTGTCATATGTTGTTCCAAAACACAACATTTGTTTCAGAACACAAATACATTTCTTCACTTAAAAGCTTCATGTTACACCTTAGACAACAAGAAAATGTTGATATAAATAAGCAATATTAATGGCTCGGGTATTGCAGAGTGGGGTTTATATTTTCACTCGTCAAAGTTCTGGACCCAAAACCGCTCAGGTCACAGGTCAGACCTCAGGTTTTCAGATCCAAGTTAACCCGTGAAGCTCTCTACTGTCAAGCTCCAAAAAAGACCACATTTAACGTGTGCAAATATAGTTTTCTGAAATCATTGGACCTCAGAAGACTTTATATGGACAATTTTTTTTGCTTACTGTTATGACAGTGTGTTTGTTATTGCTGTGTATCTGTGTGTATGTTTACATCAAGATGGGTGTGACCTACATACAGTCACTGAATATTCTGATGGTCCTGTTCCGCTACCAGCTCCTGTTATAAGGACTACACCAAATACTCTGAAGAGGTTGAATGTGTGCCGTTCTTAGCTACTCCGTTTTGTTCTGTGCTTCTGTGTATTTGTTATGACTTGTATGTACTAGACTCGATTTGCTATTTTTACCATGATTAGTAGACTGCTGATTCAGATTTTCTTCACCTTTCAAATGTAAATACTTTGTGTAAATATAATTCGTAAATATTTTGTTTAATCAGTCACACTTTATTTTAAGGTCCAATTCTCGCTATTAACAAACCATTAACTACAACTTTTGCCTCAAACTCCTAATTAATCGTTAGTAAGGTAGTTGTTAAATTTAGGTATTGGGTAGGATTAGGGATGTAGAATATGGTCATGCAGAATATGTGCTTTATAAGTAGGCCTACTAATAAACAGCCAATATGTTAATTATAGCCATGCTAATAAGCAACTATAGTTAATAGTGAGAATTGGTTCCTATACTAAAGTGTTACTGTTTAATCTAAGGGCAAGGAGGACTGTGTGATGATTTAAATTTTGTATATACTGTTTGTTCAATGTTTTTCGGACAGAGAGTTATGGAAGCTCATCTATATTTTCTTTCATAATGTTTTCTCTTCAGGAAATTTAAAGGCCTTTGATTTTGCCATTTTTGTTTGTGGTTTTTGTTGGCCTGGTCCACTCCTGAAGCAGATTAACTTCTATTCTTGTAAATAAACCTATTACTTTTAATGGAAATCATAATTTGATGTGCCTCATGTGTGTATGATACAGCAGACCCTAGACAGCTGTAACAGTTACTCTTCTCCTTTTCTGAAGCTTGACAGGTCACTGTACTTTGTTGTATGGAGAAAGAGTAGCTTGGATGTTCTGATAAACATATTTTTGAGTTCAACAGAGGAACTCAAAAATAGGGGGGGGGGGGTGTTTAGATGTCTAGATGAAATATATTCAGTAACACTTTACAATAAGGTTCCATTAGTTAATGTATTAACTTACATGAACGAACAATGAACAATACATTGCAGTATTTATTAATCTTTGTTATTGTTAGTCCATGTTAATTCACAGTGCATTAACTAATGTTAACAAGCACAGCTTTCGATTTTAATAATTCATTAGTGTATGCAGAGGCGTCATGCCCATTCAAAGTGAGGGGGCATGTGCCGCCTCAGATTTTTGAGCCAAGTGGATTTTGAATGCAGCTTCCAAAAGACAAAAAAAATAGCAGATTAATCTTTTCTATATTTAATACAATCACACCAGCGTGATTAAATCGTTCAGCGCGTCATATCATCAGCGGCTAAATTAAAATTTACTTTCGCTGGCTGGCGCTGAGCCAGAGACAGACGCGTTTTTTCAGCACTGCGCATTAACCAATCACAGACGATGCTGTTGAGCTTATGAATGCAATGACCAATCAGAGGTGTTCAGATGAGTCATCGCTAAAATGCCGGTGTTTTCTTCACTAGCTCGCTGACTGATACCTCTTTCTGGTGAATTCTCTAATCAGAAACAACAAAGTGCAAATGTGTGTACGAATCTGTAAGATATTAATTTCATAGTGTAAACAGCTTCAGTGATTTTAATGGGAGTTTTTGAGAGTGCTTGAACTACTAGACTGTGAAATTGTTCTTTGATAATGTAAATGTTCTTTGCTCTCTTTCTGTAGCCTAAGTGTTATGATTAGTAGCCTAACTTACAATGTTTTTATTCACATTCACTTTCAATGTTAAATTCACATTAAATATAAACTCAGTCGTATTAAAAATGTTATGGCATGACATCCATATCTGTTAATTAAGTAAACAGACAGGTTTTTATGCATAGTTAATAGATTACATTATTAGGTTACTTTGACCATTGCCCACTATAGATCAACATAATCTATAAAGGTGAGAATCAAGATATTTCATGAGATAATGAGTTTGGGGATGTTTCGAATGAAAAGGAAAAAAGAAATAAAACATAAGTGCTGTTGTGGCTGCTGTGTGTCACATGACGAACCCCCCCAACTCGTGCCCCCTCAAAAATAATGAGTGCATGACGCCCCTGAGTGTATGGTAAAACAGAGGCTATAAACTAAGTTATTATTGTTATTTTTACATTTACCTACAGCATCAGGCTTTCTGGGACCCCAAACATAAAGGACAAAACATGAGGGTTGTGGTAATGACAAACACACTCAGCATGTCTGTCTGTCTGAAAGTTTCTAGTAATCCTAAAAACCTTGATAAGCTGGTTGAGATGTGTTTAATTAGCGTTGGAGCTAAACTCTGCAGGACAGTAGCCCTCCAGGAACACCTGGGTTTACACTATAAATGTTGTGTTCTTGACCACCTCTAAAGGCATTTCGATTGATTGGATAGCACTGAATGGTTCTCCAAGATACACTGGTCACTGCCCATACCTGTGCTTAGCACTATCCACTTGCTTGTTGGATGTTAAGCCAGGTGTCAACAGGGCATAAGTGGTCAAGGGTCACATTTTCCCAGAGTTCTCCTGCTAGTCCTGCAAGGCATGTGACCAAAAGGCATTTTAGTCCAGCAAGATGTTGGTGTCTTACCTGCTGAGAAGAGGAACACTGCAACCATACGATAGTGCTTCCTGTGTGTGCCTTTACACAAAGAGATCACTGCGATTAGAAATGCCACTAATGTCACAGATGCTCCGGTTAATAACAATACCAGTGTTGCTATCTGCCAATCTGAAAGAGAGATAAACAGAAAATCATCAGTTAAGAGATTTACCACTGAAGTAATCATGACTGTTATGATTATGTGTTAAATGGATAAAAAAAACTCCATGATGTTGTTTTCATGTCTTTCTTTTTTGAAAGGGAGAGATATATATAAAAAACTCAAAATAGTGCACTCATGTGCTTTTTCTAGGTGAGCCTGAGTGTACTTTTGCTCTCAAACACTCTAATGCACAGAAGATCAATGGCCAAGGTCAGAATTTTTGCTAAATAAACTGAATTTTGCTTTTTTTTTTTTTTTTCACCAGACCCTATCATTTGTCCTCAGAACACTTAGAATATACATGGCAGGAGTCGCATGGGATCATTTGTATTACAAATGTTTGAAGCTGGTTGCTGTCATAATATGGATAAGAATGCGCAAAACTTCTATTTTCTTTCAATTTCTCCTTGTGCGGTCTGGAAATGAAATATGACATATGATACATATAATGCGGCATATGACATTAGAGAAACACCAATAAATAAAGTAAATTATGACTGAATTTTCATTTTTGGGTGAGCAATCTCTTTAAGCACACACAATTCTAAAAGCCTATTCACACCGCATGCAAATTTTCACTGCAACAAGCCACTGAATGGAAACAATGGACCCTTCTGCATTGAAGGCAAACATTTGCTTGGTGATGAACCTCTGAAGTTCTTTTTCTCTGTAATATTGAAAGACTGAAGTATGATTCACCTTCATTCAAGTTTGTTATCTTCTTTTCTAAGCTAAATAGTTTTGAGGTGAAAATCTGTTGGTCATTGTAACAAAGTTAAACGCTCAGGGAAGGAGGTGGGAACCGGCGAACGTTTAAACATTTTAATTATAAAATAAAAGTGAAAGTAAACGTGGCAGCCCCTCACGGATGACCTGCGCACACACATCAACATAAAAACAACATCAATCCATGTCTGGTCCTCTCTCGTCCTTCACTATCATCACTCCTCCTTTTATCCTTCCGGAGCTCCTCCGTGGAACTCGAGACTGGTGTGGCATGCAGGTGATGCTCATTATCACTCGTGTCACCTGCCTCGCTCCGTTCTCATGGCCCCGCCCCACTCGTCACATACCCCCATCGCCCCTCGCAGGCCAGGGGTACCCACAAGACTGAGCTCTACTTCCCCCTCCCCCGATCACGGCGGCCACAGCACCTGGGGGTAATGACAAATGAGGCGAGAGAAAAGGAAGGATGAGGAGAGACACGGAGAGATAGAAAAAAAAAAAAAAACTTGATCCGGTTCTTGGACACATTGCTGCTCGGTCCTCCACCAGCTGGGTGAACTCCTCCGCAATGCCTGTTGGCGGCGCTGGATAGACCTTGGTGGACGGCTCAACATTCCTCCACCGCCTGGTGGATGGTGACAGCTCCTCTAGGTTCGGGCAGCCATCAGGAATCCCACTTTCCCTGCTCCTCTCCATCATGGCTGACGGTAGCAGGCCCTGGTGGCGGCGACTCCGTTCCCTCACAGACGGTAACCGTCCCTCCACAACCCAGGTGGCCACCAGCGAATTTGTCCGTTAACCAACAATTCACTCCAGCCCACCACCTCGAGCATCCATGGCAGAAGCCTCTGCTCCGCCATGCTCAATGGCACTGCGGATTCCCCACAGTGGCATGTCCCTCCTTCCTCCCAGGTTTCGGCAACAATGTGACAAAGTTAAAAGCTCAGGGAAGGAGGAGGTGGGAATCTGCAAATGTTTAAACACTTTATTTAAAATAAATAAACAAAAAAGTAAACGCAGCAGCCCTCCACTTACGACACACATCAACATAAAACACACAAAAAATGTGTAGACATAGCTGGACAAATGCAATTTCATATTTAGGCAGCTTTTTCACTAAAGCATTTGGTACAGACTATTTCTCTTTGGTTGTAGTGGAATTCACAATATGGTTGATGTGACTTATTGTATAGTCAAAGTAAATGCAACAAATACCTGTGCCTGCTAAGGTGCATCAATAAAACCCAAATTTTGAAAAGTTTTGAAATCTGTTTCATGCATGCCATATCAAGTAATAAACATTTTGGCCAAATTTCATATTTCAAATTGTTTATTTACCTGGTCAACCACACCTGAGAAATGAAAATGATATACAATTATGCAGCTTAGCATTTGCAACTCAATTTTCGTGAGTTTCCAAAAAAAAAACAAAAAAAAAAAAAATTTTGGATTTT